CATCGGGCAGCTGCTGAACAAACTTTAAAAGGTGAAGACTAATTAGCAGTGATGAACTGCTCAGGAATCTGCAACTTTCCCTTTTAAATAGCAGTCAGAGTCATCAAAGCATGGTCAGGAAGAAGTGTTTTGCATGGAAGACAGTTACATGTTGCCTTACAGCCACTAACGGGCTCTTCCCTAGTGGCTGATTTTTGTTTAACACAGGATGGCCGCCTCATTAAGCCCCTGTGAATGCAAATAAAAAATGCTAATGAACAAATAAAGCCTTCAGATACAGAGGGGAGGCGAGTGGGGGGAGGCGAGGATTTTCTTGCTGCCACCATCTCTCAGACACGTGGCTGAAGGCTTCTGATGATGCTGTGTCGTCCTTGTGGGTTTCTTCCATGTTTATGGCACTATAATAACTGGGGGTTATTGGTGCCACAAAGGGAGGTGTTTTACCCAGTGAGCACCGTTCATGTAATTAACGGGGTTTCTACCCTTAGCACTGTGCTAATCCATTTTCCCTTTATCCCAGTTAGTCCATTTTATCTCATTAAAGTCCTCGCCCCAGGAAATTAAAGTCCTCGCCTGCGAGGCACAGGTACCGGCGGGGCCGTGAGCCCGACACGGCCACCTGAAACCCCGGCTAATGGGGAATGGCCTGAGAAGGAGACGACTCGTGTCTCCTGTTATGGGGGTCTTGTCTCTCCATCCCCGGGAGCTGCTGCCGGGCTCCTCCTCTCCGTGGCTTCGCAGGGAGATTAAGCTTAAAAAAACCTCATCAAAGGTTTCTTTGGTGTGAGCGTGGAGACGCGGGGCATGGCAGAGTTGACACTGATGGCAGACGCAGCCGTTTTTTTCCAAGTCAAGTGCAAATTCCCTGCGTTTCCCCATGCCCAGGTTGGTGGCTGCAGTGTTTTTTACCGAGTAGCTTTTATACAAAGTTATTATTTATTTCCCTGTTAAGATGCAGCTTAATGTACTGGCCTCCCTTCTCATCCTAATTGTATATTCATAGAAGGGGTTTAAAAAAAAACTTCCTAAAACAAAACCAATTGCAGCAAGTGCCAGATCAGCTGAAAGCAGCAAGTCGAATGTTACGGACATGGTTTATAACCCGAAAATCCTGTAAGAAAATCCAGCCTGAAGGGTCATTGGGCTTCTGAGATAAATGTGCGTATGAGCTGTAGCACAGACAAGCGGAATACTTTAAGCGAAATAGTTTATTTAGTGGAAAAGATCCCCAATTGGATCATAATAATCTGCAAACTCGTGACAGTAGATGCAGCGTTGAAATATGAAGATTAAAGAAATAAAGAGGCCAAACCTTTCATTTAGGAATTTTTGAAGTTAAGCAAATCTATTTCTACTTTTATTTAGTTATTTTAAAAGTAATTAAAAACTCTTAAAAGCAAATCAAACGTTTATTTCAAGTCTAACAAAATGTTTTTTTTTCTCTTTCTTTTGGGAGCCAATGCAAGGCTCGGCCATATTTCTCCAGAAGATTGAGAGAAAAGGCTTTGCCTCATATGCGCTTTCAGCTCTTTCTCAACGTTTGAAATACACTGCCTACGCAGGCGGGGGAGCTGCACCGTTCCCAACGCACGGTGCCCCTCGCCTTGGCAGGGGTCAGCCGTGGCGCTGCCCGTCCCTGCCTGGCGCTGCCCGTCCGCCCGCGCCGGGGCTGTCGGTGCTGCCTTTACGGCACCTCCTGATGTGGCGGAGAGAGCCCAGAGCGACGGAGCAAAACATGCAGAATTATTCATAAGACTGGGGGCCTTTGAATCCGTCTTGTTAATAAAACAGTAGAAAAAGCGCTTACGTTCAGTAGAAATGTAATGAAACGTGATTGCCAGATACTGGAACATCTCAGGTTCTTATAAGCAATATACGGCCTATATATAGTCCGGTATTACTTCCAGGCAGTAGCTGTCATGAAGTGTATCTCACCCCATCCAGCTTTACATACTTGCCCTCAGATACGTTAGAAATAGGTTATGCACCTTGTGCGAAAAACATGCCTCTTGCCGGCTCAGCGTACGGCGCTTTACTCATTTTAAGAAACCTGCTTTAGAGCTAAAAATATGTTATCTGTGTTCTTTTTTTATATTTCCTTTAGTTTAGCCACTTCCACGATTAGCTCTGACTGATTCAAATCGCACACAAGTAGCATTTTCTGAAAAGCCTTTCTTCTGTTTATCAAATACTTCTTCCACCTGTTAATCTGTTTATACATCACTGAGCACTTGAAAGAGTGAAACCCTGCAATAGCAAACACTCACTTTAAAAAAAAAATAACAAATCCAAGCAAGCTTCAGTTAAATATTTACCCGTGGCACAGAAGCTGTGGGAAAAGCAGGACTGAAATCCCCCTGTGATGGAGCTGATGGATGTCGTGGTCCCTGCGGTCCCAGGGGATGGGGGGGAAATGAGGGCAGCGACTGACCCGCGGCGGGGACCTGGCAGGGGACCCCAACTTGCAATGCAGCCCCTGGGGGCGAACCCCGACGGCGCCTGGCAGCTGAGGGTACGTAGAGTTTCTCAGGAGCCGGTCTTCTCTTTGCCTTTAGGAAGTCCGGGGGGATTCGCTGAGATGCTAGGATGTTTTTTCCCCAGGATAGGATTGCTACAGGAGCATGGGGGTGATGGAGATGTTTCAACACCAGCGGGCACCATCCCCAGGAGTCAGGGACCCCGTGAGAGGGGGGGTCCCCAGCTCCCTGCCCATCTCCTGCCAGGGAAGAAGCACAAGAGAGGTCGGGCTGCTGCAGGGCATCTCCAGCACCAGAACGCTGTCTCAGTGTGAGAGCTGCAAAATCAGTTCCTATGGAGCAGTGGCCCAGCGCTCCCCAAATCTGCTGCGAACCGACGGGAGTGGGTCTGCCAGTCTGCCGTTTGCACCCTCCTGTTATTGAGTGACACCGCAAGTTACTACTGACCAGAAAATTTTGCCAGAAAGTGGGCGGGTGGAGACCCATTCACCCCCAGCAGACACCAAGCCATGCCAGGCTCTGGGACCACGTCCCTTATGATTTAAAATGTTTTACCTCTGTAGAAGACCTGGAAGCACCCAGAGCACTTTTTGGGTGGCAGCTGAATTGCTCAGCACTGAGCCAGCTCCACTGCTGCTGGGCAGAGCTCTCTGCCCTCGGGGACCGCTTTGTTCCACCGAAGCTCAGCTGCATTTTAGCACAAAGCTGCTGGAAGACGGAGCAAGAGAGAGAACTGCCCGGGGGGATACAGTGTCCCCAGCCCCAGAGCAGAAGCGGCTGCAGAACAGCAGAGAAACACCAAAATATATTTAAATGGGCCAGTTGACAGAGGGGGAGTGTCATGGAACCTCGTGTGGGCTCGTTCCTGCCATTGCCATCGGGGTAGAGCGAAACCGCATCCGGCACCGAGCCGGCGAGCGCTTCTGCACTGCTGGACCCCTGCGGCTGCACAGCCACCGAAAATGCTGCTGAAAGGTCCTTAATTCCTGCTCGCTCCAAGGCCCCAGCTGCCCCAGTCCTGCGGGAACGGGAAGGTGCGGAAAGCTCTGGTCACCCAGGTAAAACGCTACTGGATATTGCACTCCGCTGGCCGTTGCACGCAATGCCTTGGAAAGCAGAGGGGTCGTACATCAGGACAAGAGCTGGGTTTGGTGTCCGTGTCCGAGGGATGCCTGCAGGCATGCGCCACTGCCAGCCTGAGCTTTAGCCTTAACTTGGGGCAGCGAGGCCTGACTCAAATGGGATTAAAATAATTTGAGGCATTCCCGTGATTTTGCTTACCTTTAGATTGAGCGTAGACGTCCTGAATTCACTAGTCGGTAACCAGCCGTGTAGGGGCTCTTTACAAGCCTTGATTTCAGAAGGGCATCTTGCTTAAGAAAGGGTTAATATCCTGGGGGCTGGAGGGGGGGAGGCTCACAGCGAGTTACCTGATACACCAAAAAAGTACATGTGCTGCCAGCATCTTACTAGCTGTTATCTTCAACATAGATTATTTCAATACGCCTATGATGTGTATCACCTCTTTAATCTCGCCATACCCCATCTCAGCAAAGAAGCTGCCTGCTACTGATATTTGGATTTGGGTCTTATTTTGCAATTTCCTTTTGAACAGCTCATTTTTCAGATTGTTATCTGCTGCAGCAGCTTCTCTTGCCCCACAATAGGAAATGAGCCATTTAAGAATGACAGCCATTTGAGAAGGATATTTGGGGACAGATCAGTTCAATAAGGGAGGGGGAAAATTCCGGCAAGAAATGGACTTTTAGCTTGGCAGTTGCCAGACTGTTTGGGTAAGTGGAATTTCGCAGGAGATTGTTGAGGCTATTGGAAAAGCTTTTGATGAATTACTCTTAGAAATGTGTCATAGAGGAAATTATAGAATCTGATCCATAGGATGGATAATGCCTTTGCTCTCACTTTCAATCTATCTATCAGTCTATCAATCATATTATTATGGCTCCTTTAATCATCATATAAAAGCTTTAGTTGAAGATAACCACCCTCTGTTAGCTATTTATAAACAGTAAGTATATAGGAATTGAGCGAAAATTTGAAGTGCTTTTTTGCAAGTGAAAGCTCACAAAATGAATGCCCCCGATTGTCGTCCTTTGTTATAAATCTCTTGAATATTATGGCCAGAAGTCCCAAGCCAAGGGGTCCAGTTCAGGCGTATGTGTTTTCTAATTCTGTCCCTTAAGTCCCCTTAACTTCAACAGGATTTAAGCGCTCACCTAAAATTAAATCCGAGGTGTTTCAAATGCAGAGCTGTTGAAGGGCCCCGGACTTTTCTGGCTGGATCTTGACCGATGCAAGAGCCTGACACCAAACCCGTGGCCTTCTTTTGGTTACTTTCTTCTATGTTTTTTTTTTTTCCCCCAGGTTATAGTTATCAAATATTTTTTGTGGATTTAAAAAAAAAAAAGAAACGCAAGAGCAGTTAGAAAGCAAGAAGAATAAATTTTGGTTCTTGTTATTATCAGCGCCGTGGTGGAGCCCAGAAGCTCCAGTCAAGTATCAGATATGGCCGAGGCGGCAGGGTATAAAACCATTAAGCTCAATGATAACGGCAGGGAGAGTCAGTGGCTGTGTGAGGGGTGCGTATGAGAAGGAATTGCACATACAATAAGAGCCTCGCGCAGAGGGAAGGCTGGATGCCTTCATTTTACGCCTGCAATGCCAGACCACTGCTTTCAAGCGGTGAGCCTGATCTTCAGTTGATGTGGAGCAGTGTGAAGCTCAATGGGACCATCTTGGTTCATTGCCACCAGGGCTAGCTGCCTCTCTCTGTCCCCGCCGAGACCTCCAGCGCTTCGCCGGGCATCACACCGACCGCCGAGACGCCTCGCGGGGAGGATGAGCACTTGTGAATGGTGAGTACAGCGGCCCGGGCTAGAGCCACAGGTAGCCCTTTGCAGCCCTCCTGCGGCGAGGGAGATGCTCTAAGATGGAAGGATAACTGCTGCTACGGGGCACCTTTCTGCTCGGTTTCGCTGTCCTCGCTTGGCCGGGCTCTGGCTGCGGGGATGCTGTGCCGTGGGTCCGGGAGCAGCGGCAGAGCACGGGGATGCCGCAGCCGCCGTCGCTGGTGACAGCGTGCCTGCATTTTGCTGCGCTGGGGGCAATTACGCGTTGTCACTGGATGGGCGCGTTTGGCATTTGCCAGACACACGGGCGGGAGTCTCAGAAAGAGCTTGTGATTTGGGCGGGAGCCATATTTGTAACTTCTCTCTTCCAGCAAGCACTGCGCACCCTCCCCGCTGGCAATGAGGCTTTCGAAAACCCTTCTTAGGACGGGCACCCAAAAATGAAGTGCAAGGAGCACCAGTCATTTTTGAAAATGAAGCCCCAGATTTCTGGGCACATTGCCTTAAAGACAAAAAGCAAAACCAAAAACTGTACCAGCAAACCTTGGTCTAAAACATGCTTTGAAGAAATGCCAGCCAAACAGTACCTGAAAGATTTAAAATAATTTGGTTATTTCTTTCACTTAGACAAAATATTTTTCTCTTGTTCAGGTGGGTGCTTGTTGCCATCTCAGCCGTCGCCTTGATCCTATACGCTCTCCTCTTGGTGACACTTTACA